ATTATATAAATGGTCTTTTAGTGCCATGTGGTAAGCTAGTCGGTCTTATGGCTCCAACGCCTTTTCTGTCTTTGTCTTTTTGTGGTATATGCGGTTGGATTGGTATTAAATCTGTCAGATTTTTAGATGGGTTGAACCTATTGGAAATATGGTCTGACCGAAGTTTATTGATTATTTCAGTAGTTTCTTCTAGTTTAATCTGTGATAAAGAATTGATACATATTAAATTGTATTATGCAATACATCAGTATAATATTTTTATTTCAATCAGCACAAGCATTTATGAAATAATTTACTTACTTTGAATGTCCACAACAAATCTAAATAATCACATAATTTGTCACGATCATCAAATAATACTGGAACGGTGACTTTTTTTATACGTTCAAATAAGAAAACTTCGGCTGAAACCATCATCATTGACCATAGCTCCATACGATCCTCTTTATAGATAGATATATTATGTTAATTAATGTAAAATGTCAAAATAATAATAATAACTAGCCAACACTTACCAAATGTATGTAAAAAAAATACTTTAATCGAACAGAAAAGAACCGGATTTCCATTTGTAAATTTATTCGCTAATTCATCCAACATATACAAACAACCAACGAATCCTTTTACATGATCCCATGTTGAGCGGGGTTTATCAATCAAACCATGCCCGCCACTCATTTCTAAATGCGCAAGCTCTAGATTATCAACTTTAAATACCCCATCACAGAGTTGTGAAACATCCGATTGTTTGTATCGTAACCTGCACGAGTCTATACAATCCAATGCTATTTCCCCACTGTAAAGGCAAAAAAACCAGTCAATGTAGAGAAAAATCAATCATACAGAGAAAACATAATACATATATTTATACAGGATTGACAACTTACGGTAAATATTTAACATGAGATTCTAAGCCTTCTAATAGCCACATTAATGTCGGGTGGATGATAAAACCACCATAACTGGCTTCAGAAGCATCTCCACCCGACATTACTGAATTGGGGGGAAATACAAGTTCGTTACTGCAATGAACAAGTAGAAAAATTCTCATTAGTTGTTCACCACTCTAGTTATGTCTGAAAAAAAATTTTTTGTATGTTTAATATACAAATGCTCACAATTGATTGATCACCCGAGAAAAAAAAATGAGTTTATCAGATTTCATCGTTTTTAATACAATTGGGGGAGAATAAATTGTTGTCCGTATCTCGACTTTGGTTTGCTGCTTATAGATCACAAATGTAAATAAAATAACAAACTAATTAAACCACTTAAAAAAAACTTACTTCATTTAAAATTATTTTTGTTAAAAATTCTTGTGCTTCTTCATCGAGACATGATACAAAAGGTGTCCAAATTGATTGTATCATTTTGTAGTCATCTTCCGAAATCCATTTTGGACATGCAATTCCTCCTCCGCATCTTATTGTATTAAATTTTTCTGGCCTAAAATTAAAAGTTTTTTAAGTATTTACAAAAGAAAATACAAAAATATCTCTAATGTTTAAATTAGACTAACATTAGTGAATGCTCTGCTTCGGAACCAGCTTTATGGAGAGCTTCTTTTCCTGAAATGCCAGAAGGCCATATCCATTTATCCCAACTAGGAGTTACTTTGGCATGGATTTCTGCTTCAGTTTCATCTGTTTCCAATACAGAAGCATTCAGAATTTCTTGGTCGTCAAAATAAGATTCAGTTAACGCGCAATATGACTTGAAAACATAAATTCAACAAAAATTTATTAGATAATTAATTTTCATTAGTTATGTCTGAAAAAAAATTTTTTGTATGTTTAATATACAAATGCTCACAATTGATTGATCACCCGAGAAAAAAAAATGAGTTTATCAGAATTCATCGTTTTTAATACAATTGGGGGAGAATAAATTGTTGTCCGTATCTCGACTTTGGTTTGCTGCTTATAGATCACAAATGTAAATAAAATAACAAACTAATTAAACCACTTAAAAAAAACTTACTTCATTTAAAATTATTTTTGTTAAAAATTCTTGTGCTTCTTCATCGAGACATGATACAAAAGGTGTCCAAATTGATTGTATCATTTTGTAGTCATCTTCCGAAATCCATTTTGGACATGCAATTCCTCCTCCGCATCTTATTGTATTAAATTTTTCTGGCCTAAAATTAAAAGTTTTTTAAGTATTTACAAAAGAAAATACAAAAATATCTCTAATGTTTAAATTAGACTAACATTAGTGAATGCTCTGCTTCGGAACCAGCTTTATGGAGAGCTTCTTTTCCTGAAATGCCAGAAGGCCATATCCATTTATCCCAACTAGGAGTTACTTTGGCATGGATTTCTGCTTCAGTTTCATCTGTTTCCAATACAGAAGCATTCAGAATTTCTTGGTCGTCAAAATAAGATTCAGTTAACGCGCAATATGACTTGAAAACATAAATTCAACAAAAATTTATTAGATAATTAATTTTCATTATAAAATTTTTTTTTTAATCTTGTCTATTATATTGGAGGGAATGAAGAGCATATATAGTGGTGGTGAAGGAAAGAGTGGTTGTAACAGTGAGGAAGATGATTGTGGTAATAAGTAGGATGATGTGATTTCGAAACTTTTCCCACTACTTAATTGATATTATTCACCTTATTCAGAATTGGAATTCTTGAAGGTTTAGGTTCAAAAGCACCGCTTCTAATTATATCAAGAAATTAAATATTGAACTAGAGTGATATCAAGTGGCGAACACCACCACCATCCTTAAAACACTTACAATTCCGTTGTTTCTCCAGATGCATCTTCTTTGGTTCTTTTAATTCTGCGTGACATTATTTTTTTTTTAAAAAAAAAAGGAAAAAAAGAAGTTTGTTATTTGATCTAGGGCTTCTATTCGTAATATATATACAAATTTTTATTCGAATTAAAAAAGTTTATGCGAATTAAAAAGTTTATTCAATTAAAAAGTTTATTCGAATTAAAAAGTATATTCAATTAAAAAGTTTATTCGAATTAAAAAATTTATTCGAATTAAAGAGTTTATTCGAATTAAAAAGTATATTCAATTAAAAAGTTTATTCGAATTAAAAAAGTTTATTCGAATTAAAAAGTTTATTCGAATTAAAAAAGTTTATTCGAATTAAAAAATTTATTCGAATTAAAAAGTTTATTTGATTAAAAAATTCTAATTCAGTTCGTTTTATTCGAATTAAAAATTTAATTCGCCTTACTATTACTCGAATTATTTGTTCTATTCAAATTATTTGTTTTATTTGAATTATTTTTTTTTTTATTTGAATTATTCGTTTTGTTCATTTTATTTGTTTTATTTGTTTTATTTTTATTCATTATTGGAATCAATTACTTAAGGGTAGGGGGATCACGTGGTATATTTAATAATAAACAATGGCTAAAAAAAAAAAATAATGTCGATCATCATAAATAACAATAATAATAATAATGCATGCAATAATGGAAAAATCAGAATGGTTTCCGAGTTTAAGATAGTAGCATGCAAGTGCAACATTTTAACACCCATTCTCAATTTTTTAGTAATTTTGACGTAATTATTGCATGTTTCTGCATTCAATAACTCATATCTATTATTTCTTCGCTTACTTCCAATTCTGTTAAAAAATTGCAATATTAATATAGAGTATATGCGATTTTTGAAAACCCATTACTATATGTATAAATAAAACAAAATAAACACAAATAATCTTACATGTTAGTCAAAATTAGTTTTATTAGTAAATGATCATTACCAAATTCAAAATACCAAAATAGCTTTTCGTAATTGTATCCAAAATTATTTGAATTCCTTGATTCAATAGCCAAAATTCTGGTAAATTTTTTATGATAATTAATATAGGGAATATGGAAAAGCCAGAAGAATGTAGCCAAAATATTTGACAAATGAAAAAATAATTTTGGCTAACATGTATGCTCCAACCAAGTTAAAAGTGATGCAACAAGATTAGATCAATGAATGAATATTTTCGGACTTACTTCAGTAAAGTGATTCTACAGCTCAATAGAAATGAGAAGTCACATATTGTTAAAGATGAATTTAAAAAAACTTGAAACTTATTTAAAAGAGAAATTAATCATAAAAAATTTGTTCACTTTTCTTAAATTACTCTCATGCCAATTTCACAGCATATGCAGACAGGGGTAGAAAGTACTAACCTATCTTGGATAATCATGATGAATTTAGCAAATATTCCATTTGAATTTGTCTCATATAGGGTTATCCTATTCCACCATGGCCAGAGGAATGTCTGCATTAGGTACAAATTCAATAGAAGTTTGTTTACTTGGTAATTATGGAGGAAATAAAAATTTGAATTTGAAAATGGATCAAAGCAAAGATTTTTTTATTGTGGATTACTTGATCCATTTCGATTACTATTCCAAGCCCATTATGCTTATTTATAACATTTCTTTGAACATTTAATTTTAAGATTTGCGCTTTAACTAAAGATTTAGTTCTGCTCAATGCAACATATATTTGACCGCCTGCAAAAATACTTTCATCTATGGAAACAGATATGCTAGGTTAGGCCTTGCGTTTTATGTATTGTGAACGCAAAGGCATTCATTCTCAGGTGGAAATTGTTTTCCTAGAAGCTATCTTTCCATTGATTTCAAAATAACTTGAACCCACTATCTGCATCAGTAGTTGGAAAGGTAGCCTCTATATTTCATTACCGATGATTTTCTCATTACTCTCACTATCCCATTACAAATATTCTTTTCGAATATTTTACTGTTTAGAAACATAACTCTTAAACAATTTTTTGGAAAAGTTCACAACATACAAACTGTCAATTCGCAGATATAACTTGTATGATGGCGAAATAGTTTAGTTTCGAAATTCAACATCGAAATTAAGAAATTGAAAATTTTGCATTTTTATAATCAAATTTCAATTTAGTAATATTCTTTTATTGTTAGGCATAATTATATATGTTGATCTTCCAGCTGGATTAGTCCAAAGAAAATTGTATAATAATAAAAATAAATGGTTAATTTGTAATTTTATATCCGGATTTTAATTGATTAACAAACTCCGCAAAAAAAAAAAAAAAGAAAGCCTGGAACGAATAAATTAAGATTGGTTCTTTTTTTCAGAATGAAACGTTTGATACAGAATCTTTTTCTAGATGGCAATTTCCAAATAGTATCAATTGCACACATTCTTCGTCAAATGAGGACTTCCACCCGAGCTACCATCATTACAACATTTACGATTTGATTTGCGTCATATTTCCACATTGCCTTTATTAAAGTGGTCCCATGCAATTTTTGATGGTCTTCCAGACCTTTTTGCATTAGGTACAGTGTGTAACGAAAAAAATGGCGGTGACAAAAAATTGCATATCTCAACAATTACATAACATAATTAAATAAATTTAGATTCGTTTGAAAGTTTATCAAATTACCTTGTTAAATAAAAAAAATAGACATGATATGCTATTGCC